CGTCCAGACTAGCGCACTGAGCCGACAAACAGCTGATCAGCTGTTTGTTGGCTCAGCGCGGCAGCCATGTAAATTTAAATGAAGCTGGGGCTCTTGTACATTTCAAAGGAGGAATGTGGAACTCCACGTGTAGCCTGGGGCCAGCGGGAAGTACTGCTGACTCCGGGCTGCAAGTGGGTGTGCCAGCTTTGAAATGTTGGGGGCTCTTGTGCATTTCAAAGTGGAAGCGCCCTCATGGAGCCCGGGGTCAGCGGGTGACTCCCCAGCTGATCCCAGGCTCCGTGGCCTTTCAAGTGGAACCCGGGATCAGCTTGGGACTCCCCAGCGGACCCCGGGCTCCACGCAGTGCTGCCTTCGTAATCTGTCGGAGGGAGTGCAGTTTGCCCCTCTGACCCCCACTCTGAGTCTCGTAAAAGACGCATCGGACATGGGGTGGTGAGTCCACCTGGGTAACCTCAGGACGCAAGGACTCTGGTTGCCCGCAGACATGAGTCTTCACATCAATGTGGAGGAACTGAGAGCAGTCAGATTGGCATGCCAGGTGTTCTGGGCCCAGATGTAGGGCCGGTGTGTATTGGTGTGCAAGGACAATATGACCACGATGTTTTTTTATAAATAAACAAGGGGGTGAGAGGTCATCTTGATTATACAACGAGGTGCAGAGGCTATGGCACTACTGTGTGAAACACAGAATTCACCTTGAAGTCCAGTATCTCCCAAGGCTACAAAACACATTGACAGATGCCCTCAGCAGGACCTTTATGGTCCACGAGTGGTCGATCAGGGAAGATGTGTTAAAATCAATCTTCCGCAGGTTGGGGGCTCCCCATCTAGACCTGTTTGCCACCCCAGAAAACAAAAAATGCCTGGCCTTTTGTTCATTCCGGAATCACTATCAGAGTTCCATAGGAGACACATTTGCTCTCCACTGGGTGAGAGGATGTCCACCATGGGGTCCTGGGGTTCCTGTATCTCCTCCACCAGGAGTTTCTGTTCCGCGCCACCCTGCGCAGCAGCTCTTGATATGCCCTGTGGTCCACGGGCAAAGGCCCCAACATAGAGGTGCCAGTCACTGCTTCGTCTGGGGAGGATGACAAACAGGCTTGGGTCTGGGCAGCGTCCTCAGTGGGTATCGGGGCTCTGTCCTCGGGACCCACCTGATGATCTTTTCGTAGAGGTTGCTCTCTAGACTCAGGAAGTGGACTGCTCCCTCTAGGTGATAGGGATGTAATGGTGTAGTCAATTAACTGCTTATCCGATAAGAAAAACCTTATAGGTTAATGCTATAGACTACACAGACACACACCCGCCAGTAAATTTTTTTTAGCAGGCTGGCCAGCAGCCTGGTTCTGTCCTGGCTTGCGATGGGTCTGGGACCTACCCCTGCTGTGGCTCTGTATTTAAAGTGCATTAGGCACTGGGCGGACAGGCAGCCCGGCTCAGTTCCAGCTCACACCGGGTCCAGGAACTCAGAACCCCCTAGACAGGGGCTACTGCCATCCCACTCTGCTGCCTCTGATACAGGCAACAGGCAGCCCGTCCGAAACTCTCTCTCTTTGTGGACCAGCTCCTGCTTGGCACCTCAT